TTTGTAATTCATGAAACGCCCAAATGGATTTAGATTCCGCGCAGGATTACGAGACAATCGCTTCATCGAGGAAATGTGAAAGGTAATTTACTTTGGAGATTCCTGCAGTAAATCTGCCGCGCTGCAGAGCTGAGTGATTCTTCTGGATAGGAGGAGCTTTTCCGTCTCTCACAGTGTCATCTGTTTTAACGTGATGACACTGGGTGTATTTATTCATGCATCGTTCTGTGAGCGTGTCTGTAAGGCCTGTGGTGCTGATGGGGTCAAATTAATGTCCAAAAAAAAACGAAAGATAAAAAACATTGCACATTATTTTCTGTATGGATTGATCCAAAAGCCAATTCACATACATATCCATTGTATTTAACAGTAAACCAGCTCCTGACTAGATCATATTTCTCTCTCTCTCTCTCTCTGTCAGGTTGAACATCCTACTGGGCGGCATGACTCCGCTCTACTTCCACGTCGTCAACGTGTTTCTGCACTGCGCCGTCACCTGCCTGCTCATGCACACCTGTGAGCGCTGCACCTTTGAGGACTCGCGTCTCGCCTTCGTCACGGCGCTCTTCTTCGCTGTGCACCCCGTCCACACCGAGGCTGTGAGTACAGCGCACACACACACAACACACACACACACACACACCTTTTCACTTTAACTTCTTTAACTACAGAGTTACTACAAATACAAGACAAGTGCACAGAAGAAATAGAATCTTTGACCTTTCAGCAAAGTGATACATTGCTCTAAAATAGCAACAACTGGAGCTCTGACCTTTAACCTACTGGGACCCTGCTGCTGGGAAAAGAACAAATCTGTAAAGACAATGGGCAGGAAATCCCGCCCAACGCAGGCGATTGGCAGGTTAGGTTGAGAAAGGAAATCAATGGACTGTTGGTAGCTTGGATGGAAATGACCCAATATTTGGGAGCCAGGCTGGTAGGGACCTGGTGTCAAAAAGGTATATTATTTTTAGCAGCTGAGCGGCGTATCAAAATCTAAAATTCTGGTATCCTGACAGCCCAAGTCTGACCTCTGACCTCTTCACTTGTTGTCCCGCAAGTAAAAAATATCTTTGCAAAGTATGTTTGAGGAAAAGAGCAGGTTGTTGTTCAGATCAGCTCAGGATGTCACCTGGATAACTCTTCCACTCCTGACTGCAGATTTGTGTCCCCTCTTGCTATTCAGATTCTCCGCTCGGCTTCCCGCGTATTCCCAAAGGGCGACATTTACCTCGACATGACTCCGAGAGCTGGTGATTCAGGTTTTTCGAGTTGTGAAAGATATGCAAAATCCCTGATTATTATTCCTCTCCCCGGCTCCAACAGGTGTGTGACAGTCAGAGCTCAGATGTTCTGCAGAGAAATTGAAACGAGAGGCGGGTGAGGGGGGATGAATGGAGCAGAGTGTGTGTGTGTGTGTGTGTGTGTGTGTGTGTTGTGTGTGTGTGTGTGTGTGTGGTGTGTGTGTGTGTGTGTGTGTGTGTGTGGTGTGTGTGTGTGTGTGTGTGTGTGTGTGTGTGTGTGTGTGTGTGTGTGTGTGTGTGTGTGGTGTGTGTGTGTGTGTGTGTGTGTGTGTGTGTGTGTGTGTGTGTGTGTGTGTGTGTGTGTGTGTGTGTGTGTGTGTGTGTGTGTGTGTGGCCTGAAGAATAAGCCGAGCCCAGACAGAGAAATGCATGAGATATGGTGGAAGGGGCCATGAAAGGAAACGAGAGGGAGGAAGAGCGAGGGAGAGATGAATGCAGAGCAGCGGGGGATGTAGCAGGACCCGACCTCCTGCCAGGACGCTCCCCTGACTCCCTGAGCAGAGAGACGAGGAGGAGAGAGAGAGCGCAAAGGGGAAGTTCAGAGGAGAGGGAGAGGAAGGGAGCAGGGGAAGCAAAACGACAAGACAGAGAGAAAAAAAAAAAAAAGAAAGAAGGCGAGAGCAGGAAGCGGGAAGGAGTCAGAAATAAAGTCTCAAAGTCTCCGGGCCGGCGAGGAGAGAGTTTCATTTCTCAGCTCGTCTCCCAGCGTGCCGTTCAACCTGGAAGAGCGAGCAGACAGACTGAACTGATGCACGGACCCTCACATGTGACGTGCTCGCTGTGCAGAAGCATTAGAATCTTGTATTTATAACCCTCACCTCTTTTTTTGTGTTTTCTTTCCTCTGTTTGTCTTGTTAACAAAAATCTGAACTCAAAAGTAAAAACAAAAAAACTCTTTACTATAAATAATAGGTCCACTATATATTGAGTTTGGGATATTGTGGCGCTCTCCTTGTTTAGGGAGAAATAATGAACGCCATAAAGAGGAAACAAAGTATCCCACAGGGCTCCGTAGTGTACAGCCAACAACAACAACAAACCAGCTCTTAATCCCATCATGCACAGATCGTCCACAATCATAAAAACATCAGTCAGAACATCTGCAGACAGATGTGTCCGCCTCAGAGTCATTACACATCCTGTAAAAGGCGTCCAATCAGAGCAGCTCGTTAAGTTTCACGTCTTTTGCTTCAGTTGTTTAGATAATTATCAATTCGTTCAACCCTCGTTTTAGAACGAGCTTTATCCACTTGGTGTTTCTCCTCACTGTGATTATATTTTCTCTTCTTTGCTGCTACGTCCACGCCCGTCATATTCACCGCATTGAATGGCGTCCAATCACTGAACTGTATCCTCTCCTAAACTCACCTGCTGCGCTGTCATTGGCTGGTGGAAACACTCCAGCTCCGCCCAGAAACGTCCCGAGTCAACCGGAACAAAGCAGAACAGTAAAATCCAGTCAGAGGACAGAGTCTCTGGAGACACAGTCACCACCACACATGTACGGAGGCCCAGAAGGGACGATGGAGCAGCTTTACTTCAGGAGAAGTCTGTATGTTATTTTGAAGGAGAAAGCGCCTGACTCCATCTTGAATATGTTTGGCGAACTAGAGGTTTGTTTATACCCATCATGTTCCGATGACTTCATGATGTTTTTCTACTGACTTTGCTGCTACCAGCTAAACGAGCATGCCACCACAAATCTTTGCGCTTTCCTTCTTTGCTTTATTCGATTGATCTTTTGTCCCTGGGTTAATATTTTTGCCAACCTGGAGTGATGTGAAAATAAAACTATCCAAGTTCAATCCTAGTGCTCAGAGCTACATGCATATATTTGAAGAAAGCAAGTGCTCCTATGAGTAAAGTAGTGATGCACACACACACACACACACACACACACACACACACACACACACACACTCTCGGGGTACACACAGCCTGATGAATCCCAGACTGTTCCTCAGGATAAACAGCCTTCGTCATTAAGACCAGATGGAGTTTATTTTTCTCATTGTGATAAGGAAGGAGATTGGTGGAGACACACACACACACACACACACACACACACACACACACACACACACACAGGAGCAGAGACTTTTGGGGGGAGAAACACAGAAAACATTTTTCACCAGGCGGTTTGACTCATGCCCCTTCTCTCCTTCTTCTGTCTTGTTTAGTCACATTTAAAAAGAATTTAAAAAAAAAGAACCAGAGGCCTGTTTGGAGGGCTGTATACATAGAAGGCGATCCTTGGTCTGCTCCCACACTGCCTGTATGTTTTTATCATGCAGAAAATGTAACCGTATTCTTTGCAATCTCAGGACCTCTTTACACTCCCTGCCCCAAACGTTAGGACAGAAACTGGGAGAAGGTCTTTGGCGTATTCTGCAGCCTCAGCCTGGAGTCTGTTGCACAGTGACTTTAAACTCAAGGAGCTGGACTCCTTTTAATGTTTTTAAATCTCAAATGAAAGACCTGGAAGCAGATTCCACAGGATGTGGATGTTATTAGCTCGACTGCTTGTACTACTGACCCCCAGAGTTGACTCATAGATGGTTTTTCTCTTTGATGCATATGTTAGTGTTTGGTGAATTGTTCTCTGTCTCTCTTTGTGTCTCCGTCTGTAACTTAGTGCGTTTGTGCTGCTGACTGTCTTGGCCAGGTTCTGAATCAGAATTGGACCAATCTGGTTCTATAGAAAATAAAATAAATAGCCGAGGTTGTTGTGTTAGAATTAGTGAGGCCTTTGGGAGAGGGTGTTTCCTGCTGAATGCCCCACACATGATCTAAACTGAAACATTCAGTGCCCGTTCACTTTAGCGGAGTGCAGGATTTCTTCTTCTGACTTTCTTTCTCGATAAAAACCACTCGGCGACTTCTCCTTCGTCTGTCGTCAGTGATCACTGAAAATGTCCTCAAAGCTCGTTTCTTTCTGTTTCGTTGTCGGCGAACATTCATGAACGGCAGACTCTTTCATCCTGGTCATTTAGTTCCCTCTTTAGTCTGTTGAAAACATTAGCTCACATCATTACCACCAACGGCTAAATGGTTTTGTTTTGCAGCAGCAGCAGCTCGTGACACAGCATCAGAGAGGAGCAGATTGCAGCACATTAGCGGAGGAAAGGAGGTTACTTATTTCTCACCAGAGCCTTAAACATTAGTGGCAGGGGGCGCTGATTGTCAACAGGTAAGGCAGGCAACCACATAGGGGCCCCAGGCTAGTATCGGGCCCCCCTAGGGCTGACAAACTTTAAACCACAACACTCGCTCAAGATGTGCAAAATTTGCAATGACAGTAGTAAACCCCCCCCTAAAGCGGCCCCATCTAAAAGCACCCACTATTGTTGCGCTGTAGGTTGCATGCATTATTGCTGTGGAAACATTCATTTGTCTGTTATAGTCACCTGAGGGTTTTTATTGTTCTTTATAGCTTCATTTTGAAAATAATGCTAAATGATAGAATCTGTTTGAATAAATAAATAAAAAGATTCAATATGTTTTGTTCGTGCCAGAACTTTTCAAAACTCATTCTTCGAGACGATGGTGCTAACGGTAGTGCTAAAATGCTAACTCATATCTGGGTTTAAAGGAGATTTATTCTGCTGATCCATATTTAAATACATACGTATAATGTTAGGACGTTGGATGTCCTGACTAAACCTGGGTAAAGATACTCAGGTGTTGGTGTAATCCTGGACGTGGTTTTCCTGCCGCTCTGAACGAGACATTACGAGAACTTGGCGAGACTTGGCCACAACCTGACGTCAGGTATCAGAGCAAAGCATAAAGCAAAGTCAGAGGACACACCCACCCCTGCAGCTCTTTCAAGGTCACGGCCACCGCTCAGATGTCCCTGAGACTGCACACAGAGCTGGCCAATCGAAGGAGAGTGGGCATGTGGGAAGAGGCTTAAAGAGACAGTAACTGAAATGAAGCGTTTCAGGTAGAGGCTGGAATGAGGGATTTTACTGACGGCAGTATCTGATAAATAAGGTTTTTGAGCCACACATCTCACAAAGTGACTGCAGCAGTCTATTATCTCAAGTTTATTTCTTTATAAAATATTGAAGATGTTCTTTTTTGCATCTCGATACAGTTTGTGAATCAACAATCTGTCATCAGAAACTCGTATCAGTAATGTCTTTCTGCTTCTTAGTCATTTAAAACAGAGAAAGACCCTCGAGGCCGTTTGTCTCTCAGAGTAAATATCTCCTTTTTTTTCTCCACTGAATCATCTTTATTTTATAGTAAAGACGTTCAGCAGATCCAGGGGTCAGTTCAGTTCGTCCGCGTTTCGGACAGTCTCGTCTGTCTTCCTGTGTCTAATGTGGGTCCGTTCACCGTGAATGAGTCTCCTGTTTCAGAGCTGAAAAGCCTCCATTCACCCTCCTCCCTCTCCTCTGTCTGCTGATAGCACGCTGCCCATGTGTGGATCCCATCAGCCATATGTGTGCCGTGCTGCTCTGGGCTCTCTGTCACACACACACACACACACACACACACACCCTCTCTCTCTCTCTCTCTTTCTCGCTCACACACACACACACGGAGTAAAGCTGTCTCCGGAAGTTTTAGGTGAAGGCCGGGACACACAGAGCCGAGGGGACAGTCGACTCTCCTCGCAGCGTCCCCATGGTGACAGGCTGCCTGCGAAAAGTCACACTGCTTCAGTGTGTGTGTTTGGGTGTTTGGGTGTGTTAGAGCGAGCTGTACTTCTACACTTCCTCTCCCCCTGTTCTGGGTTTGGGTGCAGAGAGAGGCTGCAGCTGAGCTCAAATTCCTGCACAATTATGTAATGGATCCGAATTAGAGAGAGCGAGCGAGAGAAAGAGAGAGCGGGTGGGAGAGTGAGACAAATACTGTAGGTATATTTCATTCTTCCCTCTTGTTGTCACTTTGTCTGCATCTGCATGGAGTCATTTATATCTTTTAATCAGGCTAACAGCTGAGTTCATTTTAAAATACGTCCTTGATGAGATTAAAGGGTCGAGCCAGTGAACGTGTTCTTGCACTTGGGTAAAGTTTGCACCATGCAAGAGGAAGATAAAGACACAGAACCGCTCTTTTGTATCAAAATTCTTTTGTTATCTCAATTTCTCGGTTCGTAGCTAATGTCGAGCTAAAACAGGAGTGATGCTGTTTCTATATTTAGCGCTTGTTAAAAATTCTTGCAGCTGCATGTCAGATGAGCCGGAGACGTTTGATGGATTTTGATTGAGGGAGTTTTAAAGAGAGGTGCAGGAGGAGAAATAAGACGGAGCAGAAGCGCGAGTCTTTCACCCTCTTTAAATCAGCCTGATGTAAAAACTGCTGAAGAGAGAAGGGTCAAAGGTCAGGTTACAGTGGCATATGCTCTCTGTTGTTCGTATGTCAAAGGTCATCTCCTACTGTTAGAGATGGGACCGATCCTGTCTTATATCAGTATCGAGGTCATCACGCTCTCTCCTAGTCAGTCAACATATTTTAACATGTCGGTAAAATGTTGTGCACGGAATGATTTGGGTTTTTGGACGAACATGTGTTTTGTTTTCTGCAAAAGACCTGAGTTCGTGTGTCCGTCCAGGGAGAGAGGCTTCACACACATCTTTTATTTATGAAATGAGAGACAAGTCTGCGCTCACCCCTCTACACACACACGACTCTTTCTTTCATCTTGCACCTTCGATCACTCTTCATCCCTCACTTCTTCCTCTGTTCTCTTCCTCCTTTCATCTCCGACCATCCAGGCCTCCCTCAAGTGTTTGTAGGTGATGAAGCAAAGTCTTTTCAGTACACACACACACACACACACACACTCTTCAAACTCAGTCAGAAACTGTCCACTTTAGGATGTAAATGATCTCCTTTGATCTTAGCTGTGTGCGTTTGTTAGTGGTGTGTGTGTGTGTATGTATAAGTGCTGACACCCACATGTTCCAGCGGCTGCAGCTGTTCTCCGACACGCCCTCCTCTGGAAATACTCAGTGACATTTGGCTCTCTCTTTAAAGGAAATGATTCACATATCTGAACACTTTTAGAAAGTTGTCTTCTCGCACTGTGATTTGATTCTTTATTGAGCGGATGTGTGCAAATCGTGGAAGGTCGGTAAAGTCTCAGATGTGTTTGGGGTCAGCGTTCCAGAGGGGAAAGGGGGGGGGGGGGTCATTAGTGGAAAAGGCTACGGCGACCCCGCAGGTTCGGTGCTTGTTCCTGAGTGATGGAGAGCGGAGGTTGGCTTCAGAGGAGCGCAGACCAGAGAGGAAGGAATGAGGGGTGAAGGGGATCAGCGAGGGAGGAGGGGGTCGGGTGTTTGAAGGCTTTGAGGGTAAGGAGAAGGACTTCGACCTGGGAGCCAGCGGAGGTTCTGGAGGACAGCGGTGATGCGGTCACTGAGAAGAGTGTGTGAGCAAACAGGCAAGCAGCAGTTTTTGGATGAACTGAAGAAGTCCGTGGAGGACTTTGGATGAAGAACCATGTGGAAGGCCGTTGCAGGAGTCGACTCTCGTTGTGATGGATGCCTGAATCAGGTTTTTTCTGCAGCAGAGAAGAAGAGCGATGGGCGGAGACGTGCTCTGTTTTTGAGATTGAAGAAGACAGTTCTGCTCATATCCCTGACACGTTGTTGGAACGAGATGTCGCTGTTGGAAATGACTCCGAGGTTTCCAGTGTGTGGCGATGGAAACACGATGGAGGTACCAACGGGGAGACAGACAACATGTTATTTATTACAGATGTTTTACGTGATTGCAAAAAAAAAAACAACATTTCACCAGACGCTAAAACATTTAACTGAACGCAAACAATAAACGTTCAACATCCGCAAGAAATATTTCACTTTCTGAAACGGCAGAATGGTGCTCGTTGTTGTTTTGGTACTTTACAGAAACCCACACTCTCTGAGCATTAAACTGATATCTTCTGATCTGTATTTCAGTGTCTCTTCAAAGCAACAGGAACCGTCTGTAATGTGTCTTCATGCTTCTGTCTTAAATAAAACAGTGAGCAGTCTTGTTCTCTCCCGCGGAGCCTGAATGCAACATGAAGTAAAACAACCAAAACAAGGATTTCCATTACACACTCCTGGCAACGAGAGCGTTTGAGCGTCTAGCTCGGCTTAATTTTATCCTGTTGTAATCTAATATGTCTCCTGTTCTTTTGTCTCCCACTCGCTCTCTGTTTGCTTCGGCCTGGTTGTGTGTGTGTGTGTGTGTGTGTGTGTGTGTGTGTGTGTGTGTGTGTGTGTGTGTGTGTGTGTGTGTGTGTGTGTGTGTGTGTGTGTGTGTGTGTGTGTGTGTGTGTGTGTGTGTGTGTGTGTGTGTGTGTGTGTGTGTGTGTGTGTGTGTGTGTGTGTGTGTGTGTGTGTGTGTGTGTGTGTGTGTGTGTGTGTGTGTGTGTGTGTGTGTGTGTGTGTGTGTGTGTGTGTGTGTGTGTGTGTGTGTGTGTGTGTGTGTGTGTGTGTGTGTGTGTGTGGGAGCCGCTGAGGTTTCTTTTGCTCTTTTTTATCACATGAAAGTCCTCCCTCCTCCTCCTCCTCCTCCTCTTCCTCCCTGCACTGCCCTCCATCCTCTCTCCCCCTCGCGGCCTGCTCTTTATCAGTGTTAGGTGGACATGTTTACTGCTCCTCTGCCAGACTCCTCCACACAAACACACACACACACACACACACACACACACAGGAACCACAGGCTGGAACTGCAGCTGATACAGTAGATCACCTTAATGGAGAAACACCAGCGGATTTAAGGAGACAGAAAAGTCATCCTTCCTATTTTCTCGGCGGACACAGAGCCAACAGTTTAGTCTGTGTTTTACCAAAAGTCTGAAATACATCCTGAAAATGTTCCAGCTGCTAAAAACAGCTTTTTAGAGAGAGAGAGAGAGAGAGTGAGTGTGTGTGAGAGAGAGAGAGCAGCCCCATCACAGCCTGCAGTCTTCATTCATTCAAAGTTAGATTTGAAACCCCCCGATCATAGTTTCAAGTGAGTGACAGGCCCGCTGCTCACAAGATGATGATTTTTCAGAGATATTCATAGTCTTGGTCTCGACTCGGTCTCTGAGCACTCCGGTCTCAGTTAGAGTAGTCTTGACTACAACACTACCTGTGGCTGAATACTCAATACACAAAAACCATCTGAAGAATCTCTGTATTTAAAGTCCTGACATGACCAAATAGAACAAAGCGAGTCGAGAGATGTGTACGCTTTGAGTTTTTCTCTATTGCACTGAACATGAAGTGTTGTCTTCAATCAAACATGAGCAAGTACAGATCGTGTCACACTCTTAACACAGCGAGCGCGTTTCTTTTTCTGTGCTCACATATAAACGTTCTTTTGCGACTGAGCTCTGATCATAGTGATTCTGCTGTAAAGGTGCCTCAATAATGAACTCCAGCTCTGTGTCCTCACAATGACTAATATGTGTGTGTGTGTGTGTGTGTGTGTGTCTGGTGTGTGTGTGTGTGTGTGTTTCAGGTGTCTGGGATCGTGGGCAGAGCTGACGTCTTGGCCTGTCTGCTTTTCTTGCTGACGTTTCTCTCCTACATCAGGTAAGATGACTCTGCACCACCCACACACCATGCGCACACACACACACACACACACACACACACACACACACACAGACACACTCACAGGCATGCAGCTGCAGATAGAATGAAGCTTGTGTAACTAAAGTTTTTGTTTTAGTGCGATTAAATCTTCCATCTTCCATCTCTCTCTCTCTCTCTCTCTCTCTCTCTCTCCTCTCTCTCTCTCTCTCTCTCTCTCTCTCTCTCTCTCTCTCTCCCCTCCCTCCCAGGAGCGTGGGGGTGTGCGTCTCCGAGGACTCCTTCCCCTCCACTGTCTCTCCGCGTTGTCTCCTCGTCAGTCTGTTGCTCGGTACCTGCGCCATGCTGGTGAAGGAGACGGGCATCACCGTGTTCGGCGTGTGTGTGCTGTACGACGCCCTGGTGCTGTGCCGCAGGCCGCTCATCCAGTAAGAACACCCTCGCTTTGTGTTTACACCTCCCGATTCATGTGGCTGTGGTCACCTGAGCGTGGTCACCGTTCTTTTTAATTAAACGCTCGCTCTTCATATTTACTCGGGGAATCATCGGAGAGCGTCCCCGTGCGCACTGATCATTCGCCATTTCTCTGCAATGATCAAAGTTGTCCCACCAACCTGAAGTCCGACCGGGTCTCGTCCATTTGGGTCTGTGTGGTCAGAGGGTTGTATGAAGCCGCAGCGACCTCCGTGGTCCAATCAGGCGTCTCTGCTCGTCAACATAGCGGGAGACGTCCAGTTAGCATCGTTAGCACCAGCGCTAGTTTGGTTACGTCTGCCATCGCACTAATCTCCCTCAATGAATGCACCTGATTGTGTGCATACTGCCCTGCGGTGTCATGCCCTTATATGGACATTGGGTATTGTTTTACCTGCTAATTACAAACAACCTGTACGAACTTCAAACTTATGAGGACATGGCGTTTACACAGGTGAGAGAGAACACAGGTGCGACACAATAATGCTGCTTAAAGGCAGAATATGCGTTTTTTTGATCCAGCAGATGTCGCCCTTGAGCACCAGCATGAAACCGAAACAACTCGCGCTGCATTGTTGTGTTAGCATGCTAATGCTAGCGATCTTTATTATGCTCGTACTGCATGTAAATTTACCTGAAATGAGCGTGATCTAGAAACGCAGTTAAGCAGTGAGTACAGTATGTTATTCTTCTTTTCTCTAGTCCCTCAATTAAACAACTTTTATACACGAGGGGGATGAGCTGGCTGGCCGTCCCGGCGATGTAAACAAACTGAAGATAGGACTCGGGTGTCACACGCATTGTAGACAGTCATGACTCACAGAGTTATTTTCAGAGGATATACTTGATTTCTATTATATTTAAGTGTTGACGAATCGCATATTGTGCCTTTTAAGAACAGGGTCGTGATTTAGAGGAAGACTTCTCTTATAAACATTCCTCAGAGTAAATTTCTTAATGAGTTCTTTTGTTTAGAATGTCATGAAATATTTGCTCATTTGCTGTGTAACGTTACCTGCAGTCCCTCCTGAAAAGCTTGTCTTGTATTCAGACGAGGCAGGATGACAACTCTGACGCTGTGCAGGAAAGTCTCAAGAAAACAGAGGAGGATGTTTCCTTAGCGTGCAGAGTGTCCATGCAGTAAATCGCCCGTCCTTCCTGTGCAACTTAACACAGAAGCCATTATCCATGTCCCACTTTTTACCAGCCCGCTGTGCTGCTGCCTCTGCTGCTGCTGCGTTTCTCGTCCCCGCTCGGCTCTTTATAAAGAAAGCCTGCAGAGATAATAGAGGACAGATGCCTGGAGAGCAGAGAGCTCCAGATAAAACACACACGGCCATCTCTCTCTCTCTCTCTCTCTCTCTCTCTTCTGTCTCTCTCTCTCTTGTCTCCCTCTCTCTCTCTCTCTCTCTCTCTCTCTCTCTCTTCTGTCTCTCTCTCTCTTGTCTCCCTCTCTCTCCCTCTCTCTCTCTCTCTCTCTCTCTCTCTCTCTCTCTCTCTTCTGTCTCTCTCTCTCTTGTCTCCCTCTCTCTCTCTCTCTCTCTCTCTCCCCCACTCTCTCTCTCTTGCTCTCTCTCTCTCCTCTCACTCTCTCTCTCTCTCACTCTCTCTCTCCCACTGTTTCTCTCTCCATTGTCTCTCTGTCTCTCTGTCTCTCTCCCCGCTCTCTCCTCCCTCTCTCTCTCCCCACTCTCTCTCTCCTCTCTCTCTCTCCCCACTCTCTCTCCCTTGCTCTCTCTCTCTCTCCTCTCTCTCTCTCTCCCTTGCTCTCTCTCTCTCTCCTCTCTCTCTCCTTGCTCTCTCTCTCTCCTCTCTCTCTCTCTCTCTCTCTCCCTTGCTCTCTCTCTCTCTCTCTCCCTTGCTCTCTCTCTCCTCTCTCTCTCTCTCTCTCTCTCCCTTGCTCTCTCTCTCTCTCTCTCTCTCTCTCTCTCTCTCTCTCTCTCTCTCTCTCTCTCTCTCTCTCATCCTTTCAGCTTCTTATTTTAACGGCCCATACCGGTGTTTTGTACGTTTTAGCCCATTAACTGCAAGTCACATATATTCTACATAACTGCTGGCCATTTCCCCGCCTCCGTCTGCACGCCGTCAGTCCGCAGATGGATCTTTTACCTTCCAGGCGGACGCCGACTTCAGCTGTAAAAATCTTCTCGCAGGGACCCGGAGAACGTTTCTAAAGATACATCCTCCCTCGCAGTGAACATCTGGTCATTTCTTTCTGCTTTAAGGAAGTTAAAGCTTGACAACCACAGATAACCCCCCCTCCCCCCTCCCCCCCGAACATAAAGTAAACACAGAATGAATAAAGATCTATGTTGAGCTCACACACTCCAGCTTTACTTGACCCTGAGGCCAGGTTTTAAATAAATAAACTGTCAACCAGAGAAGGAGGAAAATCATGTTATTGTTTCACATAAGTCCTTTTCAGACTGATTATTTCCCCGCAAAAGTGCCGCCACCAAGCTCAGCCGTCATTACGTCTTTGTGCGTTCATCTTGATTCTGTGACATCGTAATATTGGTGTCCCAGTCTGTGAATTCACATTGTGCGTCACAGCGGGAGTTCCACATAGACACACAGTCAGACACACACACACACACACACACACACACACACACACACAGCGCTGCATTTCCCCACTGGCTCTGCTGCTCCCGTCTCTCCTCTGTAACACCTCTGTCACTACCTCTGAAGACGGTACAGAGACGGGGTCAGAGACGGGGTCACTCCTGAAAAACTCCTGATATTTGCAGTTAGAGCTGCATGTGTGAACACAAAACAGCTGTATTCTTCGCTCAGAAAGTCAGAGTGAGCTGATGTGAGAACGCAGCAGGATATAATCAGGAGAATTCACCTGGAGCGAGTGGGAGGGGGTTGTGACGTTTATTCCCTGTGATCGCTGCACGACCATAGACTGTCTGCACGCCACCTCTACCATCTCCTAATGAACCTGCTGCTGCATGTTTCCTGTTCTCCAGAATGTTCTTCTCCACTCTTTAGTTCACATTGAGATCCTGATCAACTACACGTAGCATTGATAGAAAGACAAATATTCTCATTATAGCGTCGTATAGAGGACTCTGTTGCTTCATCTGCTACTTTCGGGGCCTTCTTCTTGCGTCACGTCTTACCTCAGGAGACCCCCACCCCCCCCCCCCGTCCCTGTCTGACAGGGATAGTCTCCTGCTGTGAGGAGCATGTGTGAACATCCAGGTCAGGAGAATATCTGGAGCAGTCCTCCTGAAATTATCTCGATATTTTTAGGAGTGCAGATGTGAAAATGGCTTAACAGATTGAAGGCGAAACATCACACGGCGTGTAAATATTGTGGCTTGAGACAGCAGTCTGAAAAAGGCTTTTAGAGTCTGTTACGTACAACCCTGTTTGCTTTAAAGTCAGGACGTTGTGTGAAATGTAAATAAAAACACAGTGGTATTATAAAACCATCAGTTGAGTAACACGGCTAAAAAATAAGCATAAAAATCTCTCCTCTGAACTTTGTGCTTCTCAAGACGCCTGAATGATGAAACCTAAAGGGTGATCTCTGTGATGGATGGACCGTCTGCAGCAAGTCTCTGCAACACTCTCTCATTCACTCCTGAGGTTTTTTTGAAAACTGCCTTCGAGGTAGTGAGCAAAAAATGCTTTTGAAACATTGACCTCGGTGTCGTATGAAGAGATGTAAACGAGTTTAAAAACATGAAACATTTGACTTTTTTTTATAGAACATCTCGACATTGATCCTCCGAGTCTCAGTGTCGTCTGTATTATTCTGCCGTCAGTCTGATGGAGATGTCGCTCTGGTCTGCAGAGCCCTCAGCAGGGGGGGGAGGAGCGTCACAGCCAGAACCACAAGCTGTGTCCTGGCTTTACAACTGTGTGTGTGTGTGTGTATGTGTGTGTGTTTTAGAGAATTTGCATAAGTGTGGCTGCTTTAATGTGAGAGTGAGGCAGTGCACAGGTCCAGATGTTTGGGAGCCTCCCTGCTGTGTAAGCCGGTCTGAAATGTTCTGGAATTAGCTCGCTGCTGCTGAGCCGAACCAGCCGATAACACACTGAAACGCAGCGTACACGGGGAGAGGGGGTCTGAGCGTGTGTGTGTGTGTGTGTGTGTGTGTGTACAGAGTGTAATCTGTATCTGAGGTTATTCTAGGCAAACTTCCCTGGGGCATCTGTCACTTAGAAGTGTGGCAAACATCCAGAGCACTGCAGGGCTTGTGAGTGTGTGTGTGTGTGTGTGTGTGTGTGTGTGTGTCTGAGTCTGATTGGATCCCTTCATTAGAGGTTGAGTGTGTCTCTCTCTCGTTTGCTTTATTGATTAGCATCGTGGATGTTTTTCTCAACGGATGCTGCATCGTGACGTCATGTCAAACATTTACTGAATTCCTGACAACCTTTAAGGTGATTTTCTTTGAATCACTAAACCAAAAAAATATGAACTTTGTCTGGATTATGGAACTCATTAGTTTTAATGAGGTGCTGAAGGAGGCGCGGCCTGTTTTCACTGCAGCAGCTTTTCTCCGTTTTCAGGCTCCGTTTTG